TTGTACTAAAGGCCACAGCCATGCAACAAGAAGAAAATATAATTTAAAAAAATAGGAAGCATGAGTGCTATTACAATTTGCATAGAAAGTATAAGAGAATCTACAGAGAGTTTGTTAGTCGATATAGATTTCAACGAGATTGATAGATACAAGATCAAAATAAAGAGATAAGCAAAAATTATGAAAAAATATGGAATATTTCATTAATATAAAATGCATAAAGAGAATAGCACATCATAAACCTGGATAAAAGACTCAATACCATGAAGATATCTAATCTTTTCAAATGAATCTATACATTAGATAGAACTCTAATTAAAATAGTGAGAGGAAATCTTTAGAACTCAACAAATAATAAAATTAATATGAAAAAATAAAACTCTAAAAATAACCAAGTCTGAAGCACAAGATGGGGAGACTTGCCCTATTATACTTACAAATTATTTTAAAATGTAGAAGTTTGTGTCAAACTTTTACTAGAATAACACTGGGATAAAAAGAATGAAAAGCCCAGAAACAGATTCCTAATTTTTTAACATATATGACATTACTAATTAGAAAGGATAGAATGTACTAATCAGTATTTGAAGTTAGATATTAATATACTTAATTATGTAATGAAATGTGACCATGTAATGAGCCATAAAAACATAAATTCCAGACGAATTGAAAATAAATTCTTAATTTTATATTTATGTTATATAAAAATCCTTATTTTGCAGGAATAGAGTATTGAACACAGAAAAATTAAGACAAAATGTAGCAATCACAAATGAAGCAATTGATATACTCCTTTTTATAATTTATGTTTATATAAAATGAAACGATAGCATTTGAGGTAAATAGGTTAGAAGGAAATTAGTGGAATATATATGTGACAGGGTATTTATAATACAAACATGCAATAAAAATAATCTCAAATCAATGTCTAAGAAGAGTAACAGTACATGAGGAAACTAGGCAAAAATACATGAAAAGAAAGTTCATTTAATTAGCTAATATGGATAGCAGAAAAATACAATTGCACGCAATAGTGAGATGCCATTTCACATGTATCAGATTACCAAAAATAAGCCATAAGAATTGCTATCAAGAATGTGGGAAGTGGGGAATTTCATATAGTGTATGGGTGTGTAAAATGACAGTAATATTTTGAAAAGAAACATAAAAATATGTAGTAAAGGTGAGAGTATATATAACCTCAAGTAAAGAAACTTTTATTTGTATACACTGTATTGTAAGATATTTCATCATTGTAATATAAAATTGACAAAGATTTTTTACTTTAACAAACTTTAGAGCAAATGGGAAAAAGTCCCATAACATCATTATTATATCATTACATGGAAACTGAAAAGAACAAAATTTCTTCTTTTCCTCTGAGAACTGCCTTGGGACCATGTTGCCCTTTGAGGAAGAGGTTCAGTGGGTTACTCTAATGAGCCACTTCTTTCATTGTTCCTCTGTCCTTGATCTCTGGAGAGTCATGGCTGTGCCCAGATTACTTGGAAAATAAAATCACAGACTTCAAAAATCTCCATTATGTAGTATGAGATAGGCTTGGCCCACTGTAACAAGAAAGCTTGTGTGCTGGATCTCAGGAAAGAAACACAGAAGGGAGAGCCAGGGTAGACAAGGAGCTCCTTCTTAGGGGCTTTTTCTTCCTAGGTCAGCAAAGATAGTGTTCCATGTAACATGAGACGGGCAGATTTAAGTTGTGACTTGCGAATGGCAATGCTCTGGTAATCAGAAGAAAAGGACATGGTCGAAAGAATATAGTGTTCTAGGTAAGTTCTGATTTAAATAATTAAATAAATTAATACTGCCTCTCCTTTTAAAAATCAGATTGTTTTCTCTAAGCTCCTTCTATCAGGAGCTTTAACTAATTCTATCTACCTGGCATTTATTTCCTACAGCAACCCTCTATCCCAGACACCTGAAAATACTGCCTCCCTTCTGAAAGGTGAGCAAGTTTACCGAAGATTTAAGGGGTGAATGAGTGTAAGATTCAAGAATCTAGGACTTTAAAATAATGCAAACACATTATCAAGCATGACAAGGTGGAGTTGGTTTACAAACTCTGGCTCACAGTGTGTATTTAATAAATACTAGTTAATGAGAAGAATCATTTAAAGAAAAGAAATTTAATGCTTAAGTGTTAGGCAGTGGAGCACAGATATGGGCAAATCCATGATATTGGCAAGAGGAGGAAGGTGAGGATAAGATTGAGCTGAATATGAGTTTGTTAAGAAAAGAGGAATGTGATGTGAAAATAATTCTAGGCAAAAGAAGCTGTCAATCACAAGTTCACCTCTGATCTTGTTTCCAGGACTCCATGTGTTTGACAGCAAGGTCACACTGAATTCCTCACCATTCCTTAAATATGCCTACATTTTCCGATGTTGTCTTTTCCCCACTTACTGTTTTCTCTATTCAGAATTCTTTCTCCCCACCTCTCTATCTGACTAACTCTTGTCGTTTTTTCAGGCTATGATAAATCATACTTTCTGAAAATTTTCTTTGTCTCCTCTTCAAGGAAGAGTCCCTTCAAACTCCATAAATTATTTTACATCTCAGTTATAACATTTATTGAGTTGAGTTGTGACTGTCTGTTCATATTAAGGTAACCTACTGGACAAAGAATAATGAAGGAAGACGAGAAGCAAAGGGCCAGAAAGAACAAAGAAGAAGAGAAGAACTGAGTTTTGAGCACCCTGGAATCTACAGTTTCTGACTCAGCTCTTGAGCTGGTCATTCAAAACATGGTTATGCAGCGAAAGGCCCCTACAAGCTCTGAAAAGAGTTTGTTTCTAGGGTCCAGTTCTATACATTCAGATTCAGTCCTTGGCACCTACATATCAGTAAGTTTTAAACTCTTCAGGTGTTTCAAAGATGCTGTCAGAACTTTGAATTACTTTTTGATTCCATCGAGTATAAAGGCATTTGTTTTTTAAAAAGATTGTTTTAAAAGCTGAAATGTTGTTTAATGTGACTAAAATAGAAGTTTAAGATGAAATAGTATCTTCATAGACCCACATAAAAATAGAATAAGTCATGGGAAGATTTGTGGGAAGACGGAATAGCAAGGACAGGTATCTTGAGGCAGGGACAAACTTATGCATAAAGAGGAGAAAAATGACCAAGAATAAAGTGAGCAAGTGGGAGAGTATAGAAGATGAAGTTGAAGAGGTGAGCTGAATCCAGGACATTCCTCGTACATCATGAGGATCATGAGTATTTATGATCAGAGTATGTCACAGTGCCTTGCACATCGTGGCACAGATTTTTTATTTTGTTCTTTATATAACAGGAAGCCATTATGATGATATGATGATAAGCTGTTATGATATCATGCTACTTATATTTTTTAAGATTTTAAAGATAACATGGCTGCTTTATGAACAACAAGCAGTACGTGGGCAAGAGAGAAGCAGAACAATCAGTAAAGAGTTCTATCAGTTGTCCAAGTAAAAACTAAGGATGTCCTGGCTAGAGTGAGGATTGAGTAAGAGACTATGGTCTATAATTCTTCTGTCTCAGTAATGGTGCATCCAATCTCTCTATTTATATTATCATTCACATTCTGTCTTTATGTCTTGTTAGCTTCAGAATCAATAAAGAAATTAGTCAATACCTCATTAATTAATATCTTGTCTGAAGGCTTAGACTAAACCTAGTCCAGTTGCTCTGTGAATGAAAATCAGTTTTAAGTATGTGGAAGAATCTGGCACTGAAATTCCGTATAATCATTTGTGGCAACTTTAACAAATGCATTAATTTTATAGATACTGAATTTTATAATTATATTTTTATATGTTTTATTTTTGTGAGTACATAGTAGGTATATATATATATATGGGTTACATGAGATATTTTGATGCAGGTATACAATGTGTAATAATCACATGATGTCAAATAGGTTATCCATCACCCCAAGTATTTATCCTTGGAGTTTCAAAGCAATCAAATTACACTGTTTTAGTTATTTTAAAACATACAATTAAATTGTTTTTTTTTACTATAGCCACAGTGTTGTGCAAGCAAGTTCTAGGTCTTATATATTCTTCCTATTTTTGTACCCATTAACCATACCTTTCCTTCCCAACTACGCTTCCCACCCTCAAGTAACCTTACTTCTTCTTTCTATCTCCATAAGTTCAATTGTTTTAATTTTTAGCTTCCACAGGTAAGTGGGAATATGCAATGTTAGTATTTCTCTGTCTGACTTATTTCACTTAACATGATGACCTCCAGCTCCATGTATATTGTTGCTAATGACTGGATCTCATTCTTTTTTATGGCTCAGTAATACTCCACTCTATATGCACCACATTTTCTTTATCTGTTCATCTGCTGATAGACACTTGAGTTGCTTCCAAATCTTAGCTGTTGTGAATAGTGCTACAATAAACATGGGAATGCAGATATTTTTCATATTTTGTCCCCTCAAATCCAGAAAGCCCCAAGGGGAGAGAAGGAATCACCATCTAAACGTGGATCTCTAAAAGAGCGGCAAAACATGAAATCAAAGGAACTCATTTCTTCCAACAGCTCAGCACTCCTGGAACAAGGTGGGGGGAAGTATATTTCCTCCATTTTTATATATTTTGGAGGCTTCCCAAGGAGAAAATTACAGCCCTTCTATCAAGTTTTCCATCTTTCTATCAAAGGTAAAATTTTATCCTATTTAGTCAGACTTCTTAAAATGTGGAATTGCTGAACTGGAAAAGGTAAGAATAAATGTTCACTACAATATCCTTTATAAAGAAAAGAAGCCAAAGCCCCATAATAAAATTATTGTGAAAGCAATATAGGTGCTTAGAGATAGACTTGAAAGGAGATTGTGAATTTCATGATCCCAAAGATGCATTCTGCCATCTTTCTCTAGGCTCCATCTCAGCAAGTCTTTAGAACCCAAACCCAGTAAAAACAACGCACCAGCCATGTCTCATTGACAGGTGTCTAAACTTTTTTTTAACAGCCGCCAACTATTTTCTACCATGCTAATCCTCAACCATTCCAGCTTCGTGACCTTCACGCTGATGGGCATACCTGGCTTAGAGTCACAGCACTTGTGGTTATCTGTTCCTTTCTTCTCCATGTTTTTGACTATCCTCATTGGCAATGGTTCTATCCTTTTCCTGGTGGCCACAGAGCCCACACTGCATTCACAAATGTACCTGCTTCTGGCCCTACTGATGGTGGCTGACCTCATATCCACTCTGGCTGTGGTGCCCAAACTCCTCTGCCTCTTCTGGTTCAATGATGGGGACATAGCTGCCAATGCCTGTTTCACTCAGATGTTTTTCATCCATGGATCGTCTGTGACACGATCAGCCCTCCTTGTTTCAATGGCTTTCGACCGCTTTGTTGCCATATGTGAGCCCTTACGCTACAACATAATTCTGAGCCATTCTTTAATTGGACGCCTGGGACTGCTGGCTCTTGCCAAGGGTGTGATCCTTGTCTTGCCCATGCCTCTTCTACTTCAAAGTTTAACCTTCTGCCACATGGCCATTCCTCATACCTACTGTGATCACATGGCTGTGGTGAAGATGGCCTGTAACCACACCAGGCCCAATTACATCTATGGGCTCTTCGTGATCCTGCTTGTTGTGGGACTTGATCTGCTGCTCATTGGCTTCTCTTATGCCCTTATCCATCAGGCTGTAGTACGCCTCAGCTCTCGAGATGCCACCTGCAAAGCCCTCAACACCTGCTCAGCACACCTCTTTGTCATCCTTGCCACTTATGTGCCTGCACTCTTTTCCTCTATCACCCACCGCATCGGTCACAATATCCCACCTCATACACATGTTCTCCTTGCCAATCTCTACCTTCTCCTGCCCTCAATGTTCAACCCCATCATCTATGGTATAAAAATGAAGGAAATACGGGGCCAGGTGACCAATTGCCTGTGCAGAGGAATTGCACAGAATGTGAGTCCCAGCAATAAACCTGCAAGTAAATGAATAATAAGGAAGGTTAACCGATAATGCTTTTGCTCAACCATCCAATACCCAGTTGCATCTCTGTATCAGCTGTGGAAAAAATAAACCATGAATAAGTTATTTTCTTTTTCTTTTTTTGGGGGGGTGGCAGGTGGAGTTTACAAGAAGAACCAGTATATTTGTACTTTCATTGAGTTATGGAGTACAGAAAGGAGTGTCTAAGCTATCTCTTCCTATACCTATTTACCAGGGACACTCTGATGGCATGGGTCTCCTGATGACATTCACATCTGTGTTCAGGTTCATCAACTACATACAATATTGCTCTTCAATGATCCAAGTCCATGTTTTCTTGCCTTGATGGAGACTTTGGATTTGCTTCAGTTTTCTTTCTATTTTCTATTTCTCAAATTATCTGTATTTGTTTCTAACTGGTACCTTTTGCTGAAAGGAATGTGGTGTACTTATTATCTTAGAACACCACCTTAACATGTAATAACTCTTCAGGCAATTGCTCTTTTCATCAAGAATATTTTAAATGAAATAACAATGTGGTATGTTCACAGTACTGACCAGATGATAGTGATGATAGGGATGTGATGACAACAATGAAGGAATCTGAGGATGATATATGTAGACTGAATTCAGGGACTGCTGAGATACGTATTTCAAAAAGTTTTATTGCAAAGGAAAACATGTATTTGTATACCTGATTCAAAAGACTTCAATGAACAGGAACTTCATCTTTAAAAAACCATATGTGAACATGAAGCCACCTGTTCTTAAAGTGATATTCCACAGTGACTCAAGTCATGTACAAAGACTAACATAATGTTTTGATGAAGCATTGCTTTGTTAATATGTTTTGAATCATTGTAATGAGTGAAATTTCTATCTAATCATTTAAATACATTGTTATCATTGGATCAATTGTACAACATAATAAGACAAATACAAGATTGGGTATTTAATCAGATAAAAGTTAAAATTAATAAACGTTAAATTGAAACTGTGGAATACAAGAACTACAGAGACATAGTATTATCACAGCCTTAGCACAATCTAAACATATGTGATTATTGAATTTAGAATCAGGAGAAAGGACCCAGTATTTCTAAACTCCTTTTCAATATAAATCACTGAGTTTGAGATTCTTCAAAAGATAGTGACATGGAGAATAAGTGTCATATATACTCTTTATCTGTAGCCATGACTTCTAACGAATTCTTACCCCCTCTCTACTGTGGCGAGCTAAACAATCTATAAATTCTAAGAACATCTTTAATTCCTGTGATCTAGAACAGAGAGGGTGCTCTCTACTAAGCACTCCTTTCTGTTGGGTTTCACCTAGTCTTGCCTAGGAAGATAAGTAGGATGATGCCTACAAGCAGGAAAACATCATATTATCTATATAAGAGAGTAACAAAATTGTAGCCAGCAAGTCCTGTTGTTAATTCTCTTAGACAAGAAATGACCCAGTCTACTCTTAACTATGAAAGTGTTTCTATGGAGGCTGTGTTGGGAAAAGGTTGGCATAGGAGGAGGAAAAGAGGTAAAGCCAGAATACGGCTGGGCTCTGTGTCCCCACTCAAATCTCACGTTGAATTATAATTCCCAATATTGGGGGAGAGACCTGGTGGGAGGTGATCAGATCATTTGAGCAGATTTCCTCTTTGCTGTTCTTGTGATGAAGTTCTCATAAGATCTGGTTGTTTGAGAGTGTGTAGCACTTCCCCTTTTACTGTCTCTCTCTCTGCTCTGCCATGGTAAGACACGCTCGCTTTCCTTTCACCTTCTGCCATAATTGCAAGTGTTCTGAGGCCTCCTAGTCATGCTTTCTGTACAGCCTGCAGAACCATGAGCCAACTAAACCTCTTTTCTTCATATATTACCCAGTCTTAGATAGTCATTTATAGCAGTGGGAGAATGGAATAATATAGTCAGATCATTATTTTATGTTAGACTCTTTGTACCTTTTTGTTCTTCATAAGCCAGATCTCCCATTGAAGGTTGGAGACTGAGAGAGGATTTATGTCTAACACCTTCATGATTAGCATGGCAAAGTTCAGAGAAAACTAAAGAAATAAAGTGTTAAATAGTCTGCTCTCATTAAAATATAATCCCAATGATGGAGAAGAATTATAGCATTCAAATATTGGAAAGCAAGTGAAGATACTGGGTGATAGGAAACTCTAAGAAAATTCAGGGTAACTGCTTAGGTTGGGGTATTTCTGTCCTAGAAAAGGAACAAATAAAGGGTTCCGCATTATCTTCCTCACATTCTATTAATTCCAGCAAAAATACCATCTCTTTAGGTGGCTCCATGATAGTTATTCTAGGTATTTATACATATAATATCTCATTGAATTATTTTAAATTTAACTCAACTTATATAATAATATCCATTTTGCAGATTAAGTTACAAAGGCTCAATTTCTTTACGTAAGTTACACTTACTGGTAGTGAGTAGTTAGCCTGGACTCTAACCCTAATATATCTAATCATAAGACATCTTTCCATTCTGTTATGCTTATATTGTCTTTTTAAAGACAACCAAGAATATAGAATAAAAAAGTTGTGGAGTGGCCGCGTGCTGTGGCTCATGCCTGTAATCCCAACACTTTGGGAGGCTGAGGTGGGTGGATCACAAGTTCAGGAGCTCGATATCACCCTGGCTAACACAGTTAAATCCCATCTCCACTAAAAATACAAAACATTAGCTGGAATATATACCTACATGACTGTTGACTGGAGGCCTTAGTTTCTTACCACATAAACCTCTCCATGAGGCTACTAGAGTATGCCCATGGAAGCTGATTTCCCCAAGAGTTAGTAAACCAGGGAGAGAGAAAAAGATTCAAAACGTTTTATGACCTAGCCTCTGTTACAATCTACTGTCACATCTGCCATTTTCTATCGACCATGCAGAATAACCCTGACACAATGTGTAACAGGACTAAAAAGGCCTTGTGTACCAGGAAGCGTGAGTCACTGGGTGACATCATGGAATCTGGTTACTGAAGTGTCTGTGTTCAAATGTTTTATCTCTTCCAAGGCTCAATAGTACACTAAGAGCTGTTTATCAAAAGGCAAGAAAGCCTCTGTTGCAGTTGGTACGGCCTTACTCCCAAATCCCATGATTCTTCATTGTGATACTCCTACTGGAACTTGACATTAGTTCCATCCTGCATCTTGTCCCACGACTGATACCCAATAACAGGTTTTCCAGATCATGTGGCCCAAGCAGCAGAGATGCTTGCACAATGGCCTGAGCCTGCTGCTCCCGGCCTCCAATTAAAGTTACAGCCTCCTACATCACCCAGTATTTGAACTTAAGCAATATTTTTACATGTGGGATGTGTCACCCAGATTCTAAAGGATATTTTTAATTTCTGTGTTTCTTTCCTCATGGAGTTGGAGGAGAGTATGCAAAATATATCAATTTGACTTTTGCTTTTGAGGGGATATCTTGGTATTTCCCTGATCTCTGTACCCTGAAAAACTTTACTAAAGTGGCAAGTTCTTGCATCTTCATAGGATTTGTCTCCTACCTCTGTAGTGCTTGTATTTGAGAAAGTCCTATAATAATATTTAGGCAATATCGCTCATCTTGCCAACTATTCGACATGATATTGTCAACGTTATGGATCAGCGTGATATTTTGTGGGATGCCAAGAAGTCTAGATCTCTGTGGACTCTGTCATAATATAGGGCGGGAGAGTTAACATAGTCTTGAAACAGAACTGTAAATGAATATTGCTTCTCCATGTGAACGCTGTTTGTGATTCACTTTTCTAATTCAATTTTCTAACTCACCCTTCCACTATAGGTGATAAAATCCTCTTCATATACTGCCATTACTTTATATACTACCATTACTGAGGCTGTCTGGTTCTTACAATTAGCTATTATTAGGAAAAATACATTACACAAGTCAATGACTACATCCTATGTACATCAGGCCTTAAGTATGCTGATATACCTGTGATACCATATCTGGCACAATAGATGCAATCAGAGTTTCTGTGTAAGTATAAAATAGTCCATAGTTATTCATCAGGATTCATCTACATTCTGCATGGACCAGAATTAAACAGATATGTGATAGGCACGACAACCTTGGCATCTTTTAAGTCTTTAAAGATGATACTAAGTTTTAGCATTCTGTTTCTGAGAAGGTGAGTTAATTTTTGCTCATCCAGCCTTTATGTTCTAGCACTTTCAATCAAGCATCTTCAAAATCCAAACCCAAGGGTTGCCTTTGGCTCCTGCCAATACATGCCAGCTAGTTCTTGTAATTCTTTAGATATACAGCTCTTTTATTCTCTGATGAGATCTAGAGTGTACCTAGCTGCATTATGCAGTAATGAAGCCTTAGTTATAAGCCTGGCAGCCAGGAGAAGGGGAGGAAGAACCTTGTGAGTAAGTGCCTGTTGTCTTTTGGAGCATAAGTTTCTATAGCATCATCTAGTACAGAAGTAATAACAGACTGCTGCAGAGATCTCTGCATGTCTAGAAGGTCCAACAAACTTTATTGAGTATAAGTCTTCAGAAGCCCCCATTTGGATAATAATGATTCTGTCCCAGTTTTCAAAATTCTAGCTTTTCTTTACCAACATATTGACCTACATGTAATAGAACCACTTTAGTTGAATGTTTAGACTTCACTGGACCCCTGTGAGTCTCCCAAGCAAGTCTTCAGCCTGCCATTGACTGTGTATGCCCTTCCACTATAGGTGATAAAAAGCCTCTTCATAAACTACCACCACTGAGGCTTTCTGGTTCTTACAATGAGCTATTATTAGTGGCTCTGAGACTCTCATCTTTCGAAACAACATCAAAATAAGTCACCAGTAATCAGTAAACTCTATTATTTTTGTAGGCAATTCTTCCTCCATATATTTCAAATGGATATATCATCGCACTTACCACCTTTACTTCCACTGGCGAAATAACAACTGAACTACCACCTCTTCTCAGGTACTATCCTGCCCCACCTGCCAATCAAGAGAGCATCCTCTGCCTGCCAGACAGAAAGTCCCAGTTTCTTATCTACTTGTACCACTCTCAGTGTTACTAGCATTACTATGACCCTTGAGCAAAGCAGATGCTAAGACGGGATTTACCATATAAGAATTTTAGTCAAAGAAACACCATGTGAAAGAAAATAAGGAAGCAAATCATCATAGATTGGGACAGCAGTCACATCACAACGTAAGTTCAATCCCAAGTTAAAAAGAAAGAAAGAGAAGTTTTGGTCAAAGTATCTTAGACTGTGATGCAAAGCAGAAGTCAGCTTACCAAGGAGCCTACCAACATGTCCCACATTCCCCAGTAATGGGTTTCCTTCAGCATCCTCACCACACTCAGTCATAGTGGAGAGTAGCCAATGGGAGGCATCACCTGGGTTCAAATTCAATGATAGATTTCAAATTGCAGGATTTAGGCCCTTCAGTCAATTAGGCTCCATGTAGTAGGAGGCCTCTGTAACACATTCATATGACCATCATAGGACACTAAAAGGAATTTGGAGGGCAAGAGAAGAGGGTACTATGAGTAATTATTCCCCACACTCTCTTCGTCTCTGGCTCCTTTACTCCTTTAATTTATCTGTGAAGTTTCAGAGAGTAAACATGTTTTGCTTTGCAGGTGATATGGTTTTTGTTACAACTAATCAGCATTTCCACTCTAGTGCAAAAGCAGCCATAAATTATAATGTAAGTAAATGAGTCTGGCTGTATTCCAATAAAACTTTATTTATTAAAACAGGCAGCAGACCAAACTTAAATCACATATCACAGTTTTCTAATCCCTGCTCTATAGTCATGGTATTGTTTATACAAATGAAGAAATGGAGTCAATGCACATGTCTACTAATACAGGATTGGTTAAAAAATACTATAAGATAATTTTTAAAGAGCTGTAAATTTATATATACCATCATGGGTTGATGCCAAACAATGCTAGGTTATACAATAAATTTCAAAATACAATGTGTAAACATATTTCCATTTTATAGTGACAATACTTGAAGATTTTTGTTTACATAAGAAATAGGTATGAACAGATACATGTTGGATTGGGTTGGATAGTGACATAATTTTTATAAAAACTATCAGGAAAGAAACAAAGAAAGGAAGAAAGGAAGAAAGAAAGAAAGAGAAAGAAAGAAAGAAAGAAAGAAAGAAAGAAAGAAAGAAAGAAGGAAGGAAAGAAAAAAGGAAGGAAGAAAGAAAGAAAGGGAAGGAAGGAAGGAAGGAAGGAAGGAAAAGAGAGAGAGAGAGAGAGAGAGAGAGAGATACCATAATATCATATAGCATTTGAACTCTGCTTTTGTCCCTCAATCCTATTTCAACCAGAGTAAACAAACAAACAAATTCACTCTAAGATTTTAGCAAAAAGGAAGTTCAGTGCTGCCACAAGTGTCAAGCTAACAATTCCCTCAGGCTGCTTTAAATTCTTAACTATAACATTTTGCTGATGACTTTTTTTTCTTTGTAGGTTTGTGATGGCTTAAATATCTACTTAATACTTATTTCAGATAAGCAGTACTCTGTTCTTCAGCCATTAATGCTCCTGCAAATTTTCCTTGATCTCTGGTCTTGCATTTATAGAAAAGGCGCTTCCTAGTCAGTTCTCTTTTTTTTCCCCTCTTGAAAGTTGGACCTTTTATTTCAAGCTGAAATATCTGAAATATCCCACCTTTCTCAGCTTACGCTATTAATTTTTTTGTTTATTTGAAGCCTTAATTATCAGTATAACTAGAAGAACATTCTAGAGAAGTTTCATTTATTTTCCTGCCATTTTAAGAGTTTCATTTAAGTAGTGGTCATGTGGCTTTTAAAGTAGGTATCTTTTTCATTGAATTCTGCCTTTATATATTAGCTGTACAATGTGAGGACAACCCCTAAAATATTTTGGGCCACAAACTTTATGTGTCTTAAAATGTTTAACACTATACCCCAAATCAATGTCTAGAAGCGATGAACAATATCTCCTGAACTTAATGTGTTCACGTATCGTGGCACATGATCTGAACTCTACACACCACCCCAAGTGCTTGTTTATTATTTCTTCCTGGATTTACAGAGAAATGGCCTGGCAGAGTTATATAACCAAGATTTCCAATATAAAACTTATTTTTATAACTATGACCCTTTAAAGAACATTCTCAGAATTTTCTCTTTGCTAGAGATTCTTGTCTTATGCTGGAATTAGTTGAGACAAACAGAACAGTTGCCTCTAGGAGCTGTTACAAATAAAAATTTGTAAGAATGCATATCCACTTTTTAAGAGTAAGAGTTTCCCATTTTCCCCTTTTCCTTTGAAATTTCTCTGGGAATTTCAGATTATGTTTTCTGTACATATTCCCTAGGCTTATAAGGAAGCAACAAGTTCTGCTGCTCAAGCGTAAGGTTTCTGCAGTAAGGATAACATAGTGACTAAATTCAATTTTGCACTTTCATTATCCCTTTTCACTCCCCCTAAACAATCTTCTCCATTTTACCTTCTCCTTGAACACACACACACACACACACACACACACACACACACACACCCCTACATACACAACTCAGCCTTATCTTGGCAAAGTAAGTAGCATTCTACAACTCACTGATTTGAAGGTGGGCAAGTTACTGGTTGCTCATATGTTCTCACCGCATGGAAACATTCTACCTCATTTTACATGTGTTCAGTGTGTGTGTGTTGTTCAAAGTGCTTTTATAGACATTATAACATGTAATTGGTCCAATGCCTGTGTCAGGTATAGAGAGCAAATGTCATTATTTTCATTTCACAGTGGGGATAATTTCCTTGCTTTGGAGTTACTGAGGCCAAATGTCTCCTATGCCTTAGCCTCTCTGACCAACGACAAACATCTTGGCAGCTAAATCTGACAATGTAACACATTTCTATCACTAGTTGATTTCCTCAGGAACTGCATCTACTTAACATTCCTTCCTCAAACTCACAGATGCTGGATTAGCAGACAAGTTTCTGACCATGGGCAGTGGTTGCGGGTTCTTTTCTCCAGCAACCATATTTGGTCACTTTGTCACGGAACTCCTTCGTTTTCACTCCATAAATTATAGGATTGAGCATTGGAGGTACAAGGAAGTAGAGGTTGCCAAGAATGGTATGGACATGGGGTGGAATGCCTCGGCCAAAACGGTGAGTGAGAAAAGAGAAAAGTGAGGGAGTATAAGAAATAAGCATGACACAGATGTGTGTGGTGCAGGTGTTGACTGCTTTATGGTGGGCTTCCTTAGCAGAGAGACGCAGTATAGCCTGGATGATTAGCACGTAAGATGAAGCAATAGCTGAGAGGTCTAACCCAGCAACCAACAAGGCCACCACCAGGCCATAAATCCGGTTGAGTGTTGTATCTACACAAACCATCTTCACCACAGCCATGTGCTCACAGTAGGTGGTGGGGATGACATGATTGGCATGATAGGGCATTTGCTGAAGGAGGATGGGCATGGGGAGAATAAAGAGGATAGCTCTCACCAAACTCACTAGACCAATGAGTCCAATGCGGCTATTGGAAAGGATAGTGGCATAGTGCAAGGGCTTGCAGATGGCCACGTAGCGGTCAAAGGCCATGGTCATCAGGACAGCTGACTGCATGGCCGAGATGGAGTGGATGAAGAACAGCTGAACCAGGCAGCCTTCATAGCTGATCTCGCTCTGGCCAAACCAGAAAATGCACAGCACCTTGGGAATGGTGGTTGTAGACATGCCCAGGTCTGTGAGGGCCAACAGGCAGAGGAGCAGAAACATGGGTTTGTGCAGGGAGCGCTCTGTGGAAATGGTGAGGAGGATGGTGCAGTTCCCAAGCACAGTAATGAAATACATGGAGGAGAAGGGGATAGCTATCCATTTGTGTTTGTCCTCCATGCCAGGAATGCCTTGGAGAATGAAGAAAGAAGGATGGCCCTGTGAGGCATTGCAAGCAGTCATGGTGGCACCCTGCTGAAGTATCTATGGAGAACAATAAAGAGGCGACATGAGCTTCAATTTTAAAAGAGCTTCAAAATGGAAAACAAAGATTGAAATGTTATATGCAAAAATGACTCTGAAATCATGATATTATATATCATAAAGTACAGTTGTAATAGTACAGTAGCAATAATGAGGTATAACTGCATTAATATTCAAGAGGATATATTCTATGCTAAATGCTTTTATTAAAAACAAAATGGTTCTTATTAAATAAATATCTCATTAAATATATTTCAATATTAAGAAATAAACATGTATCAACATAAAGAATAGAACTTGAGATATGTGCAACAAAAATGCATGGAATAGAAAGAGAAGCTGACAAAATGCAATATAGCCCTCTCAGAGACCAAAAGATGAACTGTATTCAAAAAAACTGATTTTTTTAAATTAAGATAACTTAAAAGCGTATAATAGAATTCTGCATCCAAAAATTAAGAAATCCACATTTTCAGCAGATACAGGATATGAGGGAGTGGGAACATTATTGATGAGAATGGTGCATTGACAATGAAGAATGAAGTAGGCAGTGGGATGCTGGACAGCTGAAATTCACCAGAATGTGAATATAAAGCCCACCCTTATCTAGAACCACTTACCTGAAAGGGAGGCAGTGAGAGGGTAGGCAGCTGGTCCAGACACCTTCTGCAAATGTATGTGTGAGTGTGTACGTATGTATGTAGGTATACCTTACCAAACACCCATATGGCTCTTGGAGAGCACACTCATGGCCCTGCATCTCTCCACACTTCACTTCTGGGTGTCCAAAATAAATGGTGTGGCCTTTTAAGTAACTTAAGTAAAGGTCCTCAGGGTGCCCAGCATTAGCTCTTTGCTTATTTCTGCCAACCCCAACCTTCCACTCCCCAACACACAAGGCACAACTATTATTATGTGTAAAACTGACCCTGGAGGTTGCCTGAGCTCCCAAGAGATGAAGATAATTAATCTGAGGAATTCAGGAAATGTTCCAGTCTTTGCCAATCTTGGAGGAGTTTGAGGAGAGAGAGGGTGAAGTTAAAACTGAATCAATGGATGAATAAATAAACTGTGGTGTATATGTACAATGAAATATTATTCAGGCTTAAAAAAGAAGGATAATCTGTCATTTGACATAATATACATAGACCTGGAGAAGATTATACTAAATTAAATAATCCCATCCCAGAGAGACAAATACCACATGATCTAACTTACATGTGAAATTTGGAAACAGGGGATGTCTAAAACGTACAGAGGATAAAATGATTACCAGGGTTAGGGCCACAGAGAGGAAATAGAGATATTAGATACAAAATAGCAAACATGTAGAATGAACAAGTTAAAATACCTAATACGCAACATGGGCAATATCATTAATAACAGTATATTGTATCAAGGATTTTTGTTGAATGAGTAGATTGTAGCTGCTTTTGCTGCAAGGGGAAAATGGGTAACTATGTGAGACAATGAATATGTTAATGTGTTCCACAATAGTGGAACATGTTTATACTAGAGATATAGGTATCTTATAACATCGTATTGTATATCTTAAATATACACAGTAAAATTTATTTTTTTAAAAAAGTTGAATCTGTCACTAGACTGGGAACTAGCCATTTGGGCATCCTAAATGCCCTCATTCCCAAGCATGTGTAGGTGTGGGAGCCAGGGAGATGTTTATTGTGTGGCTGGCGTAATTATGCCAATTAAGGCATCAGAGGTATAGCTTCTGTTGATGGATACACTGGCAAAATAGTGTTAGCAGCCTCATATTCTATCTCTGACCTTTTCTAATTTTTAGTCTCTCACCTTCGTCCCAGGCCAATTGCTTTGCTGTAGACGTTCCTTGGGGCATCTTCAGCAATCCTTTGCACTTCAGAAATATTTCCAAGGAATTAAGTAGATGGGGCACAGTGGTGAAGATCTTTGGAAGAAAGATCAGTGTACTAAGAATTAAATTATTCTAGTCAACTATTGTTGCATAAAAAACCACTCCCAAACGATGGTTTTAAAACAATTTATTATTATCCCTTATGATGCTATAGGTTTTTCTGAGGTCATTTGGGCATTTCTCACTTGGGATATCTCTCTTATGTGGCTATAATCAGAAGTACTAGTCAAGCTTAGCACTGGTGCTCCTAACTCGGAGCTCAGCCAAAGCTGTCAACCACATGACCTCTCCATATGGCTTTAGATTATCACAGCGTGTTGGTGTGTTCTATAGTGCCCAAAAAGTACATATTCAAAAACACCAATGACAAAGCTGTAAGATTTCTTATAATCTTGCCTTAAATATCCCCAAATGTCACATCTATTTTTAAAAAACATTGCTAAGGGCAGACAAGAAAAATAGGGAAAGAAATTAGACTTTACCTATTAGAAGAATGGTGAGGTAATATTGCAGAAAAGTGTATGCGATGCAAAATATTGTTTTGCCATCTTTGAAAAATAAAACCTACAACATTCACAATACACATATCCTCATATATGCAAAATACATTTGTCTCTTCTTGAAGATCCCAAAGTCTCCTTCTCATTATGGGATCAATTTGAAGCCCAGAATCTCAGCCTCAAAATCAGGATAAAGTATGAAGAAGACCCTTTGGATTCCATTCCTTTTATACAGCACCACGAGTACAGCTTCTTTCGGTTTGGAGATCTGTGAAGTAAATTAAATGAGTTATCTGCATCCTACACAGCCAATATACAATTGTGATACAGAGATAGAACAACTGCAATGGATACTTGTATGTGAAATAGTGGAAAAGTTATGTAACTCCCACTTGTATATTGTAATTCTAAAGTACAGCCAGAAATATATTACCAGTTTCCTAATAAGGACCCAATCCTGCTCCCTGAGAATAATTCTCCATGGCTTGGTTACAACCACAGGGAAATTGACTCTGTATTCTACGTCATCTTATTTTTGTAGCAAAAAAATGACCTACATTTACATATGAGTAGCTTTCTCAAATTTCTTCCTGCTTAATAAAGTTAAAAACCTAAAGACTTCTTTTATTTTGCAATGGTTATGGCCTTTTCCGCCAAGGTTCATGGTACTTATATCTACAATTTTTCTTAAAAACTGAGCTTGCTACAAAAATTTTAGAGTTTACTCTATTAGACAAAAGTCATACCCACAAATACCTTTCAGATTTTTATCTTTCTGATTTTATCTGACAGTTACAGTACTCTGAAAAAATATTCTAATGATTCTTAGAAGCTTCTTTTTCTAATTGAAAACCTCTATTTCTCTATTGTTAGCAAAAGATCTTACAGCCCTTTCCTGGAGATGATACTACACCCTGGGACCATTTTTCACTGTGAGAATATTTTGTCATTGGAGAAGCCGGTGGTGGAGAGAGTTAATTTCTTCTTTGAACCTAGCCAGATATGACACCTTTGTATTTACTCTGAATGTTGTTTGAACATTAAACAATTTCATTTTTACTTTATATTTCTTTTTACGTGCATTATCATATGTAGCATAAAAATTGTGTTGGTACTTCCAGTACTTTGCTTTGAAATCTCCTTAGCCAAATACATCTGTTTATTAAGATACTTTTCAATTTTTCATGTTATTGCTCCAGATATCTGATATCTTAATTGGACTCAATGTCCAAGATGGCTTACTGACATAGCTAACAGTTGTTGGCTGTTGGCTGGGATATCCACAGGGGCTACTCACTAGAATATTTAAATATGACTTCTCCATATTGCTTAGGACACTCGTAGGATAGTAGTTTGGTTTCAAAGGGAGCCTACTAAGATTAAGCATTTTAAGAGACTGGGTTGGAAACTGCAAAGACTATTATGACCTAACTTCAGAGGCTCCAGAATGTTTCTTCTGGCGAATGCTATTTCAAGGAATTCCTAAGTCTAACTCACTTTCAAGAGAAAGGGTATTGGACTTTATTGATGCAGAAATGGCAAGAAGTTCACAACGCAAAAGAGCATGGAAGACGGAAAATATTGCTATGGCCATCTTTGGATAACGCCTTCTGCCATATCAAATTATTAAAGCAGCATCTGTATAGACACTAAAATCATCAAAAATCATGTCAAGAGGGTTTTGTGTGTGTGTGTGTGTGTGTGTGTGTGTGTGTGTGTGTGTGTGTGTTTTGGGGGGGGATGGGGGGAGAAAATAACATTGTGCCAAAAGTCTTCAAAGAAAGAATGACCCAGTCTCAGTCTCAGAAAATAACTGGAACAAGTAGAGATAATTGATAATAATAGTTTGATGATGTAAGATTTAAAGCTGGGAAATTTTAGGATAAGTGAGTATTAGTTAAGAAGTAGTTACATGGAGCATAAAAGAGAGCTGTGTCACTTTTAAACCCAGAAAATTACTACAAGATCCAAGCTATGTGTTTTTCAAAGGATCAGACTTGTTATGGAAAGAGCCAATATTTCTTAGGTATCAGAATCACCAGAACTGTTAAAGAATTTATTAGCCTATTAAAGCAGGATAAAGCTTACTTTCATTTTTTCATTTACATTTTTACCAAGTTCCCCAGCTGAACTTGATGACCACTAAAGTTTGAGAACCACTGTCTTAGATGATTTATTTTCCTGAAGGATTCCTTAATTATTTGCTGCTATCTTTACTGACTCATCTGGAAAGTGCCCTACAAAGGTATCCCAAATTGTGAGGATTTTACTCATGTCTTTTAACCTGTTTACAAGACTAATCTGTCTAGTTACATATGATCAACATGCTATCTTCTAAATCTTGGAAATCTTATCAGAATATGAGATATAAATTTCCCTCTGATCCTTTGATATAAGCATTCCTTCTTCAAATTTTATTTGGCTTCTCTTGACATCTACCTACTTATTTTGTCTCACTGCTTCCTATAACACATAGTGGATTTCCAGGATTTAATATACATTTAAGTCAATGTTGTAAGAATTCCAGCTTTTAAAAAACAAGAAATACTAAAAAATAAACACGATTACCTATTTTCTTTTTCATG